GCAATCACGGTAAGGAAGAGCCGCCACAACAAGTGACAAATGATGCTTGTCATTGACCTCATTTACAAATAAGTGGCAGATATGAACATTTGTAAGCTCATGACGTGCTACTGAGTTTGTCAAGATGGATGTGGTACTGTGATATTAGTGTGTTAAGTGGAGCAAATGTGAATCTTTGTCATTTTTCCTTATAATGGATTAAGCCTGGTTCAGTCAGATTATACACTTTTGTCAGTTTAATCTTTGTAAATCATGTGTACAAATTAGAGCATAATAAATCCATGGGAACAAAAATCTATATCAGTAGCCATAACTATTCTTTGCCCGTCACAACTACATTATGCTGCACTGGCGAGCGGCGACGCATGCCTGCTACTGCAGAGATTGTACCAGTGGCAGGCGAGCGGTCAGCGATGGGCGCCCCTAAGAGCTTTGCCCGACACTGCTGGGCTTTTACCATCAGTCACTCCTAGGCATTCCTGCAGTAGTGTGATGCTATTCACATCTAATGTTGGAAACAATCATGGGGAGTCGTGTTATTTGTGGGTTTCTTCTACGTCGTTGTTATGTCCAAGCTGCTAATGAGGTGAGCATTTGTTGCATCTGGCATCGTACGACAACCAGCAGATTCTTTTTATGTACAAACAACAGATTCTTGTTATGTACAACTTATGAATTTCCATATATCAGCTAATGGGGTCAGCATTCATTGCATCTGGGATTGTATTGTTTGTGGGTTTCTCCTATGCCGTCGTTGTGTCCAAGCTGCTTCCACCATATGAGAACCAACTTATGTCCGCTATCCAAAATGATAGGTAGGGAATCTCAAATCAGAACGCATGATCATCAAATTGCTTTTTTCCGGTCTGCCACTGATTTCTGATTATGAAAATTTTACTTAGTTACTAGAAGCCGTGTAATATAATATCTAGATATTGTACTTGTCTATGTTGGACCAAATTCCTGTAAGCTAAGTCGAATCCAGTAAGAAGTTACTATCGTTTACTTTGATATTTCACATAACAGGTATTACTGCCTACTTGTGCCCTTGACACGTCCTATGATAATTGTGGCTGTCTATCTGCATTGGCTAAGTATATAAATGGTCAAGCATGCCTGAAGAACTACACATCAGTTTTACAGAAGAAGCCTGCAGTGTTGCTCAAATGGAAAATCCATGGGGATCATGAGCACAATTCAACTGTTATAAAAATTCTGAACTCAGCGGTGGTCATTAGTCTTCTGCAATCGACAAATTCCTTTATAACGTATGAACTTCCGTCAGTTTTGAAGGATTGAATAGGCTGATGTCAACTTACCAAATGGACCCCATTGTGTTGCAGCTAGGTATTAAAACGAGTACATTATGTTAAGAAAATATATATGTATTCGTGAAATTCTTGAGATGGAAAATACTGCATAGGTGTCAAATTCTTCCATAATCAAAAAGTGAGGCTGTAATTGTTGTACATTTTCATCTTTATTAATAAAAAGAATGAAAGATGCTGGCCTCTTAGAGTGAACCATGGAATCATCTTTCAATATATTTTAAATAGATAATAGGTTGATAGGTAGATTTGTACGCATTTGTGTGTATGCTTATGTTATATATATAGTTTATTTCCTATAATAACAATATAAGTGTGTTAGCATCACTTTCATCGTCTACTGAGACAACAGATTTTTGTTGTGTACAAAGTCTTCTCTTTTGCTTGTAGAGTTTCATTTTGCTTTATCATCTGCTGATGCTATTCACATTTAAAGCTGGCAAGATTATATCCGCATATGGCTAACTTTGTTCTAAGTTCTATAATTATGTATTATATCTATTTTGTTGTGTCTCTGTACGTGCGCACATGAATGTTACGAGTTTGCAGTGACCAAACCGAGGCAACCCACAAACTGCAGGCC